ATTCCTCCACCTCTTTGCAAGACCCTAATGATATACGTCTTAAGCGCTGTCGACAAGCCATAATTTGGGGCCAACGGCTTTGTGAATGCAAACGATATTTGATTGACTCAAAAGATATACATCTTATTACGCCACATGATAAAGAGAATAAACAGGGAATACCGCCCCCCATTGCTTACGCCCCTTAGTGATTTTAGCATTCTGGTTAAGCTCCATGCATCTTTGAAATTAATTACGTTAGCTGTGTATATTGTTTTATCCTACTATGACTTACAGAATTGCATTTATTATGTTTTTAATTATTTTGATTTGCATTAAATTAAACTCCTACGTCTTCTGTCTTCTTTCCTCCTCATGGCCTTTTCACTCTTGCTAAAGACTTGGGTTCCTTTTAGCTTAACCTTGCAATGGAAGTCTTTGCACTAACAAAGAAAGTCTCGTTAATTACAGGTAGGCCTTCAGTCAATCTTTCTTTACTCTTCATGTACGCTAGTTAAGTTTATTGTGCATTTATTCATGAGCTTCTTCATTCTGTTCCCCTAAGCAAACTTCGGGATAGGCAAATTGTCTTAAACCATAACTGTTTGTTCTCCCTGTTGATTTATCAAAATTCAGCCTTGGCTTTTTCAATAGAGCATTCATTTGACCCCTTCTAAATGCCTATGTCAATTCTCGCCATAACTCTCATCGAAGGCTCGATCTAGATATTTGCTAGGCGTATCGCAAGATTTTATACTATTTTTAGAAGCTTATTTTGACTATATTAAAACTGAAAGAATACTAGTTTATCTTTCTATGGAAATTACTAAAACCCTTGCTAAGTTACTCAGTTGGATTTCGATTTTTTAAGCGGGCCTATATTTATATCGTTATGGTACATTTATGGGAAGCCATGGCCCATTTAGTGTCTAAAATTCAAATTATTACTTTTTTTCAGAATAAGTGCTACCAGACGACGTCTCGTTAGATTCAATGTCCTTCTTAGCCACGACCCATACTTAAATCCCCATTTGCTTATTGTGTAATGTATTCTTGGACAGGGACTTGCCTTAACAAGGGCCTTTGCATATTTACTGGCAATAGCTACTCGAAGTGGCCAGACTCGCTTTTAATGTAATTAAAAATCTAAATTTCCTCTAATTCGCTTTCGCGTATACTTAGTTTATTAATCCTGTGATATTTTTGTTTCTTCATCAAAACTGGGAATCGGGAGCCTTGTGTCAACGTCTACGGTAATATATTCTGGGCTTATTGTAACTGCTAGTCCACCCATACCTGTCGGGAGCACTAGTTTTCTTAAATATACATCTCCATTAATCGGGGTTATATAATCTGAGTCGCTATTAGCTTATTTTTGGTGAAGTGTGTATAATTGCCAATAAACACAATAACCAGTAAATACTGTTTTAGTTACAACATTTGCATTGGATTTGAGCCTTTATTATTTATGTAGGCCTCTTGGGTGACTGACTATTCTCTTCTGGTTTAACTCATTTAGGTGCTAGCTCCGGAATTGGGCGTGCAACAGCTATCCTGTTTAGTCAGTTGGGATCTTCGGTCGCTCTTGTCGGCCGCGATAACTCTCGTCTACAATCTACGAGATTAGAATGCTTAGCGGCGCGTAAGGAATCCAACTTGCCTGACCTTCCAATTGATCCTGTTATCTGCATATGTGCGGACTTGAGCAAGGTGGATGAAATATCCAAGGCTTATAGCTGCGTGCTTGAGCACTTCAGTTGTCTTCATGTTCTCGTAAGTTTGCATCTGATATATCCAAGATAGACTATTGCCTTCGTGGAATGCAAGTATATACTCTCAATATAAAATACATATTTGGCTCTATAAAATAGTACTGTATGTATGTTGGCTTTGATTTTTACATTTGAATAAGAAAACAACTTACTAGTACTTGAAAGCATGCCCATCTTTCAATTTAGGCGAGTAGAATGGGTTCGCAAATTAGCCTCACCGAAAGCTGAAGGAGGATTTTTTTGGAGTTATCACTGTAAATTTGTGCTAATTCATTGTTTGTGCACCATCCAGCGACCCTGATTAATCCATGTTGATCTTTAGTCTGTCCCGTTGGGCAGAAAACCATACCTAGCGAAAATTCATTAAACAAGA